GAAAGAGGAGTTGAACTTGCCGCATTGCAACAGGCGAAAGAAGTGAGAAAATCAAATAATCGATCCCGCTGCTGCCGCTTCGCCTCGCAAAGTTTGGAGGTGCGGGGGGCGGGGGGGGGTGAGAAAGAAAGCAGAAAGAGGAAGAGAAGGAAGGGACGGGAGGAAGACGAGGAGGAGGACGAGCCACGGCGCCCGGACATGTCCAGGAGGAAGCAAGCCAAGCCCCGCTCGGTGAAAGGTAAGGCATCCTCCGCCGGCCCCCGCCGCCGCCGCCCGGCCCCGGGCAGCCGCCGCCGCCTCCGCCGCCGCGACGCGGCCAATCAGGGCCGGGGCCCGGCTTGGCGGGGATTGCGAATCCCCCCCGGTACGGGCCGGTAGTGGCGGAGACCCCCCCGGAACCGACGGCGTCTCCCCACGCGGGGCATCCGCCCGCCCGCCGTCCGTTCCGGGGCTGTGCGGTACCGCGGTGTCGGCCGAGACTCGGCGGCGACACGTGTCGCGATAATTGATGAAAGAAGCCGGTGGCATCGTTGAGGCACGGGGGGGAGGAAAGTTTCGCGTGATGCTCGGGTGCGGTGGCGCATCAGCGGGCCGGGGAAAGGAGGAAAGAGTGCACTCGTGTTTTAGCCGGTTAGCCCGAAATTAATGTTCSTTTATGATTGGGAATAGTAGCGCCGTCTGTTTGTTCCTGCTGTCCAATGCGCGTAAGGGTGGTGAAAGAAGGGGAGAATTAAACCCGGGTTGATAGATAAGGGCTGAGAATTTGCTTGGGCTTGCAGAAACAATGGCCAAATTTAGTAATGGCTGTATCAATAAAGGTTAGACATTAAACTACGCGTATTYTTCTCTATGCCCAGCGAAGCGGTGTTTGAAACCTCCTGTTTACCTCCGTAAGAAAACAACTGCTGGCGAAACGTAAAGGGAGGGCCGGGACCAGCCCCGCGCCGTATTGCACGCCTTGCCAGCTTTTTGACTTTTAAGTGACTGGGTGCGAGAGAGAAGGCGTGATTCCCGAAGCCTTTCTCTCCTCGCCACGAGGAGGTTAGCTGATGTTGGGGAAGGTTTTATTGTCCTCTGCACAAAGCACAAGTCGCAAACTCAGTGGTCCGGAGGCTTTGTTGTAGAAGCACAAAAGGATCAGAACTTTGGATGCCTAGAAGATGAAACAAAAAGTCTAAAGCTTTTGTAATTAACCTGTGAGCAAACAAAATTACGCTGCAGTTAATCGACCTGCTAAAGAACAAATTAAAACTCCATCCAGGGCYATTTTATATTATTTGTGAAATACACATTCTTTTACAGATGGTTGCAATGTAAGTTGTATATGCTTCAAATGTTTACCAAGTTTTTGTAAAGTCGGTCCTTCATCTTTGTATGAGCCSCTTAATCATTTTTCCCCAAACTAAGGGCACCTTTTAGCATTGTGCTGGGGGGCAGGTTTGCAGCGTGGCATTGTGACCCTCCGAAATCCCAGACAATCTGCCAAAGGAGCTACTTCAGTAATTGGTAGAAGAATGTTACAGTCTGTRGGCAGAAAAAAAGGCAGAGTTGCAGCTATTTCTAGGGGATGCTCTGAAATACATTGTTTGAAACTAAAAGAATCGCAGTTTGAGAACAGTGGATCAGGCCTTGGGTCATGACTTCCTTYGGATGAGGGGATCACGTTTAGTGGCCAGGCCTCTGCAGTTAAAATATTTTCCTGTGCTAAAGTGTCACATTGAACATCCAGGAAATAGTTCTATGCCAGTGCAGTGTTTGCCCTAGAAGCTCAGTAAGTAAACCATGACAACTTGTTATATACAACATTAGATATTTACCATTTATTACTCTTTTGTTTTCTTCCTCATTACTTTTAGGCAGCAATATCTCTYGCAAGTGGTTGATACTTTATAATGAAATTTTGACTCTAATTCTGATATGGACTGATCACTMTTTTCCAGTGCATTTTTATGAATTGAAGCAGGTAGCATACTGCCAAGTGATAGCTGAGAAACATTATCCCTGTAATGTAGGAATATCTAGAAGGTATTTACAACAGTGAGCTGGGTGAAGCCCAGTTTTTAAAGATTCTAAATATTTCTGAGGTCTCTAGGCACAAAAAAAAATGTTGTTTTCAGCTTCAGCATAAACTGAAGTAAATTACAGGTCTTAGCTTGAGCTGCCTAACAGGGAGTCTAAGTATGAGCTGAATCTTGGTGAAATTCTGGATAATAGGAGGCAGCTCATATGTGCATGTAGGATAAAGAAATTCTTCCTTTCTTTTTRTTCACCCATATCTTCTGCTTTTAAAAAGTCCTTTGTATATACATTTTGTGGTCTAGGGAGCTGGCAACCCAGTAGATTGCCACAGTACACGTTTCCATGGAAATAATTGAGATGTAATAAATAAAGGCACTCTGAGGTCATAGGTTTCCCAATTCAACTGAGAAGAAAACAAGCATAAATTATGTGGATATATGTGTAGTATTTAGGACTTAAAATAATTTACCATTTTTCTCTTTTCCATCTTTTATTTCTCTTTGTATAGCAGCTTTGCTATTTATTAACCACTACTGAGATTTGTGTATCCTTTTTCATTCAGAAAGATTATGCACTAAAACAGGATCAGTCTGTGCCTGTGATGAAAGGGATTATTCTGCATGCAAAARGCAAGTTGCCTGCACTTGAAGTGGGAGTGATGCTGACTTTAAAACAGTGATTGAGTTTGACAGAAGTATCRAATGTTGACAAGTCTTAGATGCGCGTTATTGAAAATGAAGTGATAGCAAACCCAAAGTGGATGCCAGCACAGCTGCAGGTCAGGTGGCCCCTGTGCTGTATTATCAGGTCTCAGGTTCAGCCTGGCAGAAACTTACAGTAATTTCTGCAGCTGTAATTCCAGCAGTAGCCCTAGGCTTCCCCCTGACAAGGGATTTATGATTTGCAATACAATACACTGATTTCTTTTGACCATTAGTTTGTGCAAACTTGAAGATACTAACCTTATAGCTGGTGGCTGGGGACAACGTTCTACTTGGCTTAAAAAAGGAAKGTGGCTTCAGATCGATTAGAAAGGAGTAAAAAGTGTGAATATCRAGTCTTTGTGGATTTACAAAATAAACACTTAGGGAACAGTGTRGTGGTAGCAGTGATGGAGTAAAATACTCTTCTGAAGCTTTACTTCACGTCACCTATGAAGSCCATGAAAGTAATTTTCCTCAGCACAGACTCTTACCCTGTTGCCAGTAACCTCAGCTGCTGAGAGCTTTTTCAGTTCTCTGCAAGGAAGAGTTATACCTTAGTCAGTGTTGTTAAAACCACGTGGTCCTGAACCCCAGAACCATAACACAGCTATCAATGTCAAAGCCTTGTCCCCCATTACAACTGATGGGGTCTGATAGTAACACCRGGCTCCTTAAAGTTTGTTTGGTGCTGGCTGCTGTGGGGAGAGGGGGGCACCCAGTCCACTCGGGGGGGCTGAGGAAGGCAGGTCTTCCTCTTGCCCTTGGTCAAACTGCAGCTTCTCTCACTTGGAGGT